GATTCTGATTTGGTCTGATTATTTTAACCACCCCTATTTCTTGGTGCTTGAGATTATGAAACATTTATTTTTTTATTTTTAAACAATAGCCTATCTAAAATATTGAATTGTCGATCCCAATAGAATCCAAAATACAATACAATACAATAATTACCATCCTCTTTCATTACTCCCCTGTTTATACGTTCAAGTTCTTATCTTTTAAATCAAATGGCTTTTTTAATAAACACGAGGGTACTTATAAAAAGGTGTTTTAAAATAATGTTATAGAAATATTAAAAAGAAAATTCACTCAAAGTTCTAATAAATTTTTAAAATTTTTGAGAAGGTAATTGCAATTAACCATATTTATTGTACTTGTTTAAAAATACACATGACATAAAGACTTGGTCATTCGAGCTACTCAAAAACACAAGAAAAGCAACATCATTGAAACACATGCCCCTTTTTAGCCCTTTTTTTTTTTTTTTAATAAAATCTAATTTTTTTCATAAAATGGGACTCAAACACCCACACAATAGTCATTTGACTTTTACTAAGTAAACGGAAAGACTTCTTTTCAATGCATTTGAGCAAGTTTTGGCCTCCAGAAAGATGATGATGGACCAAACATCGCTTATTCAACCGTATCTAATTGACTATAATATAAGTTTGAAGTTAAATTTGGAGGATATTGCAATAATAGTAATACTTACGATGTTTACATTTAGCCTTGATTTTCTTGTTTTAATCAAATTGAAGAGAAGAAATTGTTTATTTTCTGACATGTATTATGATCATTTATTGAAATAGATATTTGCGCAAAGAACTTGAATTTCCAAAGAAGACTATTTGAGCCTATCGGTTGTGAAAATATGCTCCATTGGTCCTCGACCAATTGTCTAAACTATAAGTTAATCTACATCTATATGTTAAAAAAGAAATGAATTAATCACCAACTTTTCAATATACCAGATCTCATCCAAACATGATTAAATTTATGGACAACAATATGCCACTTCAAATCATAGACAACTATATACGTTAAAAAAACAAAGTTTAGATTTAAAAAGTATGGTCATATTTGAGTCATATAAAGATTAAACAGTGATTTGAACCAAACGTGGACTTATATTAAGCTCTTGTTTGGCCCTCATTATAATGAATTTGGAAAAAATGTACTTTGAAATAGTAAATTTTTGAAGAATGTGTAGTTAAAAAAGAAGAAAAGTTTTGATGTTACGTATAATATTATTTTATTGGAGTGTGTAGAAAAATGAATTATAATTTTAATGAGGGCAACCAAGGGCTAAAAGGGAAAATCCTTCATATTTCCTTGGGATAATTGCGGCTGAGGCCCCAAACCTTTTTAAACGTTAGCAGACTTTTTCCAAACATTTAATTTGTTGCAACTGTCAACCCTAACATTTTCAAACTTTGCAAGTGAAGCCCCAAATGGATGGAAAACATCCAATTTATCGTTAGTTTACCAAAAAATTGAGTTTGAGCACATTTTTAATATTCTTATAAAGGGCAAAATAGTAACTTTCTATTTACTAAATTAATAATTACATAATTAATTAATTAAATTAAAAAATGAAAAAAAAAAAAATGGGGAAAAGCTTGTATCTTCTTCCCCAACCTACTGGCTCTAGCCCCAACCAATCCTTTCCGAACACCCATTTCCACTACCTCCTCAGCCACAACCACCGTTGTCGAGGGCCCCCGTAAAGAAGTTTCAGGTGGAGCTCCGATTGAGGGCCTTCCATCCGCACATATCTTCCTCTTTGAGCGCCACTTCTTTCCCCTACCTCCTACAACAATGACCAAAATCCTAACCCAAACCAATGCTCTTTCTCCTCCTCCATCTATCATTGCTTTCTTCATGAATGGGATTCTTAAGATTTATTTTTTTACTCACAGATAATTGTCCATGGGCACAGGTAAAAGGTCCAGAATCTAAATTAAATATCTACAGTCAAAATTGGGGACTAAACAAGACCAAACATGAAACTCAAATTAGACTTGTTCAAATTCAGATCAATTGGAAGCGAATGTGTCCTGACCTTATGCCAAGTTCAGTTGACCATTAGATGTAATGCTATTTTGATTTAGCTGGTTGTGCACATAATTACATAATTAATTGGATACAATGGGATGGAGGTGGCGTGGTTGGGTGGACTTTGGGTTTGAGGTGGAGATGGGTGAGGGGAGAGGAAGAAGATGACAGTGCTCGTGTATTTTATTTTATTTTATTTTATCTTTTTTATTTCTTATTTCTGATTTTTTAATTACTTTATTTAATTAATGTCATAAAAATAGAAAGTGACTCTTTTACCCCTTTTTAAAATACTAGAAATGTGGTCAAAGTTAAATTTTTGGTCAATTAACGGAATTATAGACGAAAACTGTCCAAAAAGACTTCACGTGCAACGTTTGGGAAGATTAAAGGTGACAGTTGCAACAAATCAAAGATTTAGGGAAAATTTGATAACGTTTAAAAGGTTTGGAGCCTCTAATGCAATCATCCCTATTTCCTTCATGGTGGTAAGTTTTCAATAGTTGCTAGATTAGTTTTTGGTGGCTATTGTTTCAAAGTAGTTGTAGATGGTGATTGCTAGGATAGTGGTTCAGGTGATGACAACAAAGATAGTTTGGGGCTTGGGGGGTTTCGAATTTGGACTCCATGTTCAGTATTCTAAGGTATGAGCATATGCTAAATGTTTGTTTGAAACATCTTGCATATGGGGTATGCACGTGATAACGTGGTCAACTCATTTCTTTGACCATGTATGCACGCTCAAATGTCAAAATGCACATGATTTTGTGTAAAAAAACTGTGTCAAAATTAACCTAGCGAAGACCAGTCCATTTTTATTACTTAAAAAAGGCAAATTGAACTCAACAAATATCAAATTAGCTCAAATCATCCAAACCCATGAATTATATATAGCAATCTGTAGAATTTTGACATTTATAAAAATAATAAATCAAAACAAATTTTTTACAAAGTTGCAAACTATCTTCGTCGAGCCTCTTCTTCAGTCTTTTCCTAATTTTAATAGCAAGTGAAGCTAGTAATGCACAATCTTGGATTATTGATGGTTGTGATAATGAAGATGTTGAAAATGATATTTTACCATCTACAAGAAATAATAAAAATTCTTGAGTTGAAATAGGGGAGGCTGATGAATATGATTTTGCATCGGATACTGAAAGATGACTTATATGAAAAAGAGGAAATTGAATTAGAATCGATAAAAGAGTTATACGAGATTTAGGCTTTTTAAACATGTGATAGTATCTAATCTAATTGCTGCAATTGACTACTAAATAATTGTAATATTTATTATTTTGAGCAATATATTTTTGTTGGAAAATTTGAAGAATATGTATAAATTTCAAGTAATTGTAGTGTGTGCGTGTGTGTATATAATTTGAAGAATATGTATAAAGTTCAAAAAATTCATTATTTTATTTACTTATTAGTCTAAAATATTTAAAAAATTAATATTAAAATTAGATAACGCATATGCTTCTAATGCTTGATACTCGACAGTAACGCATTGTCACGTATTATGCATTTTAGAATATTGTCTATGATAGGTGGTTGCTGATGGTGCCAACACTAGTAGCCTAGTAGGGTGGTTGTAATGTCGGCAACAATGTGACATGGTAGGGTGGTGGCATCATGGTTTCTTGGGGGATTATTCACGGGGCGATGGAGAACGTGAAAATATATTTTTCATTGTTTGAATACTTACAATTTTTCTTGAATTCCTTTTCTATTTGATTTTGGTTTTTTTTAATTACTTTTATGATTTTAAGTGTTATAATATGGGAGGTCAATCTTGCCTTCTTTAGGAAGGCCAGATTTCAATGATACATTAAATTTACGATTCTTTGACATAAACTGTAAAGAGGTCCCTCAACCACATATTTACCATTGGGTTGGAGACTGTACTATCAAAAATGAAAATTTGGACCTATTTCATTTTTCAGAAATATTAGATACCCACGTTGCAATTTTCTTGGGGAGATAGTTAAATATCGAGTTGATTATTCCAATGGTCATTGAATTTATGTCTATGTTTTCAATTCTCAATGCAATTTAAGATGTCGAATTTTGGCTACTAAATTTTGAAAAATATTGAATGTTACTCACTGGTATAACATCTGTTTAAAACTTCTAATGGAATTGACGATATGATTGATGGAATGTATATGTGGAGCCTCGTCAAGCCATTAACTTTGAGATGGTCGAATTTTGTTTACTAAACTTTGGAAAATATTTTCGATTGTTCATTAAATTTTGAACAACGTCTTTGTATTGCTCAGTAAACTTTGAGATGGTTAAATTTTAGGCACTAAACTTTGAAAAATGTCTTCGATCGATCAATAAACTTTGAAAAACGACTTCTATTGCTCACTGAATCTTGTTGTGGTTGTGTTGGAAATATTACATCGATAATGTGCAAATATTATATTCTCAAAACGTACCTTTCATGAAATCGAACATAATGTCAACTTACCAAATGAGATTTGAGAAGGCGAAATGATAATTACCAAAGTCGAATACGTGACGATGAATTCAATCATTTCCATTCTTCAAATAAAAGCCATTACGTTCTTTAATTCAAACCTTATATGAAATCAAAAGAATGTTAGTCAAGTCCTGAAATCAAATACTAAGTTAGAAAGAAGAGGAGATGCAAGTGATGAGATTGACCGAAGCAAGTATTTGACACTTTGTCCTTAAGATGAATTTACCCTGCATTGGTGTTAATGTTTTTTTTTTTGACAATCATCTCCCATGATATAATAACCACGTCAAGCCATAGGAGTATTCCAAATAGCTTGGATCAACGAACTCGAATAGAATTCTCTTTTTACCAAACTATGAAACTTTTTGCAAAGAATACAATTTTTGATAAAATGTTTTATGCAACATAAAATGAAAAGAATAACATAGAATAATAAATAAACGTCCAAGGGATCCTATATATAGAAGGTAAAGGAACATGGTTGGAGAGATACACCCTACACTCAGCATTTTTCATGAAAGGTTGCAACCCAACCCATCACTCGCCTATCGCTGGATTGCCGTTCGAGCAACAAAAGCAAAACCTTGTCCCTTGCCTGGCGCTGGCCTACTGCTCGAATGGTGGCTACATATGCTGATTTTTTATTTTTTCTTCAAACTTTGGACCATAATTTCTCATTCATCCGGATTTAGTTTTAAGATTTCAAATATACCATGGCAATCTATTTACTTTCGTAATTTGACTTTCGGATCGACTCCAAACATTTAGTCAAAGTTGACAAAAAATCGCTTTCCAAGATTTATACTTAACCAATTTCTAACAATTTCCCACTTGAATAAAAATGTAGACACTAGTAGAGAGCAAAAAAACACTGTATCAAGTAAGGTAGTTTTCGACTTTAAACATTCCTTAGTGAAATACTACCAGACTTACTTGGCTAATTGGTGAACATGATGTCTTGAATCATTCAACCGTTTGTGTAAGCCAAGACAACAATACTCACATAGATGTCTTGGTTATCATGATTTGGTTCATTTTGGCCCTAAACCACTTTTGGATTTCATAAGTATTTAGAGAATTTTAACCTCAAAACAATTTTCATTGAGGCGGTCTCACTTTACACTTACAGAGGTGATCTCCTTTCAAAAGTAATCTGCTCAACTCCACTTGACTTAATCAAGATATAGGAATTATTAAAAGAGTATTTTAACCTCTAATCGATTTGCAAAATGCACTTTAATAACAAAGGAATGAGTTAGGAAGTAATTTCCTAAGTGCTTTATATTCTCTCATTACTTAGTTGTCCATTTGAATCAAGATTTTGGGATCTTCAGTCAATAAGGTAGGGTTACCATTACAAAGAATCTAACGTAGTAAGCTTAATTTCATTCCCTTCGATACGCAGTATGCTTGATCTTTCGGTAAACCTCTTAATTGATCCACGAGTTCACACTATTTGAGATCAACTGCTTATATGTGACTTAGTATCTCATCAAATATAGCTAACAAATGATTGATTCATTTAATAGATACAAATTGTCATCAACAATGAAATCCTCTTATGAATCTACATGCTTCTCATTAACTTTATCTAAAGCGTTATCAATTCCAAGCAACAATGTTGGAGGATTTCTATCAAACACTACACTAGTCAATCACTTTTGCTAGTGAATTTCATACACGGGCGTTCTATTTTCAACATTGAAATATTACACTGCATTTCAAATTTATGAATATTCTTCAAATATTCCAAATCTTATTGCATATCCAAATTAAATGTCATAATAGACTTTTCATTTCATCCACTTTAAATTCAATGTATATCATCCTTATAGTTAGTATAAGGGTATTGTACCTTTTCACCTTCATAGATATCTTTTTATGATTACAAGGTGTATAGGAAAATGTAATTTTTAAACTAAGTTACCCTTACAATTCCTCAATTAAAAATTAATGTACAACTAATAATGTTGTATCTACACGTCATGAATGTTTCATATAAGTTTGCAAGCATTAATATTAACCCCCACATTTTTGAATTGTGCTTGAACTCTTTCATATTTCAATTCATTTATCACTTAGATACTATCCTTATCGAATGCTTCGTGAAAGTCTAAGCACTGTTAATTCACAAAAATGAAAAATCATTTTCCATTCGAAATTAGACTTCAATCAACTATATTAATTTGATCATCCAAATGAAATCAAGGTCATCACATAGACCAATAATGCTTTCAAACCATATACCACCTTAATTGGTTCCATAATTGAAGTCAAATTCTACAATGAAGAAGACTAAGCATCTTGATTCGACATTTCACAAGATTCATGTCAAATCACAAGGTACATATTCACCTGAATCAAACATAAGTTGAAAATTTTTGTTCTGAACAGACTCAACCCTACGAGAGGACGCATCTCTTAGAATTAATCTTTATGAAGGGATACACCCATTAAAAAATAATCATATAAAAAAATCATGATCTTTCATATGAAAGACACACCTTTTCATCCTAGAATATTTCATACACAATTTTCCACCTATTAATCAAAGTCAGCATAATTTTAACAAGACCTGAATATTTAACCAACTAATTTACCATGTCATATTTCATATTTCAATAAAAGGAATAGTCATGAAAGTTCTTATACTTTCACAATTAGTTGGTATCTTTCCAAATATTGGAAGTAGTCCCGACGGTATTCATTTCTGTTATGAAAATAGAATTTCAACACACTCAAAGTGAAGAAAGGAATAACAATGTATTTGTTTATTCCAAATATTAATACATTCATAAACAAATTTTAATTTAAACAATAATTATCAAACCATTTCGTGCAAAATCATTCAACAAAATATTCTAGCACTTACATGCTAAATATCTGTAGCCCTAATTTAAATGAGAACTTGAAATGGATTATGGCACAATTAATAATGCAAATTATTCTCATAAGACTACAATCACTCAACCCCACTGTGTCATGCCGCTGCTTGGGTTGTCTTAATTTATTAACAGCATTCCTTTTAATAAGGAAATCAATAAACTAGATTAGAGATTTTAAATGAATATTATACCAATAACTAACGTCCAATATTTTTCAAAATTTAATGATCAAAACTCGACATCTTAAATTTGAGTAAATAATTGAAAAAAAAATATAAGTTCAATGACCATTGAAATAATTAACTGTTAAAAATCACGTATCACAGCGATATCCCTAATCTGAAATCTACTATTGAATAATGTACCTCTAGCAGGATTGATCTACTAGCATGAAACCCAAAAGAAATTTTGTTATATTGGAAAACTCAATGCACACGTGGATCCCTCAAACTCAAAGAAGTCCACAGTATTAAAAGGGATCTATCTATATTCTCTATATTTTGAAATTTCTCTACAATTGTCTTGTAAAGATCCAGATAATCAGATCCACAGGTAATTAATTTGTGGGTTTTGTTTGCGATAATTACACTTATTTATTAACTATGTTCAATGTTCTACAGTCATTATTCTGGAATAAAATTAAAATCTTGGGTCTTTTCTGTTGTTTAGTAGTTTGACCGCTGAAAATCCTTGTCTAGTTTTGGAAAATGAAAAAAGATTCAATTTTTATTCTATCTTGGGGGAGGGAGGGAGTATTATTCTTATGCCTGAGTTTCATGTATTTTGCTTGATTCGTCTGGATTTTGTTTGTCTTTTTATTTATGAATATATATGCCTGTGTAAATGCATGTATAGCTGAGCCGAATGATTGTTCCTATCTTATCTTCCCTTTCATATTAATGATTTGAGGTCCGAATGATAGAATCTTGATGCTAAAATATTAATTTTTATGGTTCTTGGAAGAAGCTGATTGATATTTAGTTAGGGATTTTTCTTGTGGTTGCTTCAGACTATATAATTGTTAGGAGTTGAGGGAATAATTGGGGATTCAGACGACGACTTCTCATGTGATTATTGGTGGGCAGGCATATCCAGCAAGGACAAATGACTAGGTTCATGGACGAAATGATTAGCCACGAAAGGGAGCCGACTCTTGGGGAGACCACTCTGGAGGATTTCTTGGTGAAAGCAGGGCTTTATGTGGCTGATTCTTCTCTTGGACCTGCCATGGGGTTGGACAACACATTAGCTCCACAGAGTTTCACGCCTCAAATGGGTCTGTCCCCGTCTCCTTCGATTGATACATTATCGGATACACCAATCCCTGGCCGGAAGAGGTACTCTGGGGACTTTGATAGGACCCTTGAGAGAAGGCTAAGGAGAAAGATTAAAAATAGGGAATCTGCTGCCCGGTCCCGGGCAAGAAAACAGGCAATATTTTAAATCTTATTGTGTTATCTTTACCTACATTTTTGCTTTGTTCTACATATCTGACTTCAATTTTCTTACTGTATGATGATGGTCATAGGCTTACCACAACGAGTTGGTGAGCAAGGTTTCCTGTCTCGAAGAGCTAAACACGAAGCTCAAGAAAGAGAAGGTAAAGAGTCCCTGAAATTTTTTTGCTTTCTCTTTCTAGCTTTGTTTTCTATGGAATAACTACTATGTTTTAAAGCATGAGATGGTTGCTGTCTCAGTAGTTTGTAGCATTTACAAACTGAAACTTAATCAAGAAACAAATGGACTTTTTATCAAACGGATGCTTATTTAGGATGCTAAGCTGAAAGTTTCCGTATCATATCCAAATGGGACGAGACTGAATATTTCATGTAGTTTTAAGTTGAAGAACAGACAAAGACAGGAAATAATATATGATTGGAGATCTCCAGGATGAGAGTGATGAGTTTATCAGTCAATATGCAAAAATTGTGTGCTAGCTACCGAAACTACTATATAGTTAACATTTGCTACTTAAAAGTGTTTTTATTTTTATTTTTTTATTTTTTGTGGCTAAGGATCCTTGGACTTTGCTAACTAAATTCAGGTTAGTCCATTCATCACTGAAAAAGATAATGGAGTTTGAACCCTCTTACGGTGTACAAGTATTTCCAGAAAGAGAAGGGAATCATATGAATATTTTGGAGGAGCTTGCCATTTCTTAGGGGATAATTTCTAGTCATCATGCACGAAATTAGCCATCAAATGGTTTCTTAATAGAAGTGAGCAACTCTTTTCACAGTTCGCCAACCTAGTCACGACTTTCTCTGCAGATTACCTTGTTAAATATGATGCAAGGCCTTGATGAACTGCCAGCCATCACAATCATAATATCTTTACATAATTACATTGCTTCTTTCGGAAATTCCGTTAGTTTAAAGTTAATTACATGATTCAGGCTTTCATTCCATTTCATCCCTATCAAATCTTGGTTTCACAACCAAGAAGTTTGAAGTTACCATCAGCACAGTTATCATAATTTAGCATTTTATTTGCTTTGGTTGGTTATTTTTAGTATCTCAGATTTCGAATTTAGGTTTGGGGCTGGCAGCTCCATAGATTTGTTTGAAAGATTTGCACTCTACAGTAAAGCTTTAGATCTGAACAGTTGCCTATAGCTCAATCAAATTTGTCTTGTATCTCTAATGCCTTCTGCTAACAAAATCTTTATATACTAAAGTGATACATTGCTTCTGCCTTATATGCCTTTCAAACATTGTTGATTTAGTCTCCCAATTTATTCAGAAAGTTAGAATGTTGCTACATATTGGATAATGTAGACAATATTTAATATATTGTTTAATTATTGCATTGTAGAAGACCCTATTTATAGGGTTTTAAATAGCTCTAAAAGTAATGATCGCGTGATCAAAAAATCAATATTGGAGAAAAAAATAATCCCACACCAGTGGAAAATTATCATGGAGAATAATCTTATAATCTTCATGTATATTCAAGACTTCAACATCCTCTCAAACTCAATATAGTATTCTTGAAAACAAATTGAGTTTGAAAATTTATTTGATGACCTAATTGCCCTCTTTCAAAGCTCAAGTGATGCATATAATTGTGTTTACAATGCATACTTTACTAAGCCAACTAGAGAACTAGAAGCAAGTGCCACAAAAAAGAGAAAAAAAGAAAAAAAGAAAAAAGAAAAAAAAAATCATCATCCGCCAATATAACCGGACCATCACCAATTCTTGAGGGATATCTCACACAAGTAGAAAGAACCCAAATCAGATGCTCACACAATTTTTCACAACTAAACTTGCTGAGGATAGACCATGTTAACAGTAGCACTTTGAAGATCTATGAGTTGCACTAGCAATCCACCTGAAATGAAGAAAAAAGATTCGCTTAACAAGAAGCTAGGCATGCAAGGAGGCTAAGAAACAAGAGAGCTCCTCTTTGAATGGTGTTACATTTCTGTTTTCGCAACAAGCCACCACCTTTCACTATATATTCGACAGTATCTACTTCAGTCGAATCATTGGATGATCGTTGCATCATTTGTAAATCCTTTCTTGTGCTTAACATGTGTTCATCGCCATTGCTTTTCAAGTTTTTCTTCTTTTAAATAGATAATTGATATGTTGCTGAAAATGCCTTGAATTCTAACTTTAAATATTGTTGGAGTTGGTCTGGTTAAGCCATCTTCCATTGCGTCGGTTTTTGAATGTGATGGTTGACAAAAGTTGCCTTCCTGAGATTTCTTCTTCTAGTTGCAAAATCCAAAATGAAAAATTGGTTCTATTTTGATCCATTTTGTTTGAACTTCCATTATGTTGTTTTCATATCTGATAATTGCTTTAGATTCGCTTATATCATCCTCTGTAGGTTGAAGTGTCCCATGACGATGTATTTTATCTTTATCCTAGTTTATTATGGACACAACTGCCTCTTCATCGGATAGTTTTGCATTCATCCATTACATAGGCCAACAAAATATTTCATGAAATTAGGATGTGTACTCTTCACGCAAATTTAGGCATAGTGTCCCTCCGCCTGTGGGTCGCATGTAAATGGATATTAAAGTCGTGGAAAACAGAAGTTTGTATCCAAATTGACTGTATTCAAAATTCAGATTATTTAAACAATCTCTGGCTGTATATGGCCTACAGAAACCGGGAGATCATAAATGTTGTTGAAGTACTCTTCCTATAAATCCGTATATATGATGGTGTTATTTCAGTATTTTTTCTCTTACGGAGTGAAGTTTTTAATTTTGCTATAATGTAAACTAGCTTTTCCTTCGTCCCCCTTCTCGGGGTTTGTTGACAGAAATGGTACGGTTACTCTCGTAGGGAACAAAGCTCTCTCCGTTTGTTGTATTCCTCTTTTGATAGTAAGGATGGTAAGTGGGTAACTCAATACTCTTCTTATTCTTTCTAGGAATGGGAGAAAACGATGTCTTGCAATTTCGACCAACCAAGATATCAGCTTCGAAGAACAAGTTCATTCTGACATTAAGCTGTGAAAATTTTGTTGCTCAGCTGAGCTTAGGATTGTACTCATGGGTCTACTGGAGGAGTCTGTTAGAATATTGAAATGTAGAGTTGCTTCTGCTCTTGCTTTTGTTTATGATGCTAATGCTGCTTAATTTGCAGTCTCTATGTATATTATCATCTTAATCTTGTTAGAACTTACTGCTTGTACATATTCGAGTTAGCGTTCGGAGAACTCGCCGAGTTGAATGTTGTGGCGTATGATGGTCAGTATTCTTTAGTTAGGTAATGACAGATGGACCAGGCATCGCTCTTTTAGTGCCAATATGGAAAATCCCTGGCTGATCTATACATGTTATGATGTGTTGCAGACTTGCAAATCACTGCCTAAATGTGGAAAATAAGCTGCTTATTTGTGAATTATTCATCACTATTAAAATGATAAAAACATTCATGCTGCAGAGTACAAAATTTGCAAGTGTTAAGAGTGGATTCATTGTTATCATTCATTTAAGACTAATTATATAGACATTCTCTAAAATTTATGACAACTGCAGAGACACCTTTCATTTTTTCAAAATATAATTTTTTTTTTCTTTTTAACATAAAATTTCTATTTTCTCCTCTGTTATGCTATAATATGAATTTATATATTTGTTTTTTTATTTCTCTTTTTCTTAATTTAAACTTAGGCAAAAGCAAATTGTTTTAATTTTAAAAGAGTTTATATTTTATTTTTTTGTAAAGAGTGATTTCATCCCAATCTTACTTTTGTGAATATTGATTTCCCATTAACAAAAAATGAACGAACTAAATCAAGCAATGTTAAAAAAAAAAAAAAAAAAAAAATTTAA